AAAACTTTCATGCAGTTCGGTTTTCATAAAATCTATCAAATGAACGTTTGAAATGTAGGGAAAAGACAGTTTAGAAAGATGTTGTCAATTCTTTCTATAATCATTTAGGTTTTTAAAGATGCGACAAAATCAATGATTAATTCAAATAGGAAAAAGTTCAGGAAAGTCTTAGCATAATTCATTTCTTCACTTTTCACTTGATGTCAGTCGAAAGTGAGGAATTTTTTTAATTTAATTTATTACCACTTTTGGAAAATTTCACTTTTTCTATCCATGTGTCGAAAATGACGACTCACAAGAAATATTCATAAAGTATTGATGATTTTGTTGTTCGATATCAAAGAATTGTATGATTTCGATGATAATTAACTCTCAAGTTCTGACATTATTGAGATTAGGTTAAGGAAAATTCGAAAAATCTGAGATGATTTTGTCATTTTCCTACGATTCTTTCAAACATGAGTTTTTCTCTATTACTCACTAATGAACTTCAGATCATCAATGGCAAAAAATATCAGACTCATGCGTTACTAATCTGAAAATTGATCAATGGACACAACAAGTAAACAGCTGAAGAGAAAGAATCAAGTGGCTTAGCAATGTGTAATGTGCATTGAATTATACTAAGTGGTACAGAAGAACGATGTTTCGAAAACGATAGTTATTTTGAAAACACTTTTAAACAGAGATATTGAAATTTATATCTAACAGAAAGCAATACCAAGTGTCCCATTGATGTCAAACTCTACCTCAAATTTCAACAATACTATTTTTGTTTCTACTTTTTTAGAATGATACGGAATTTTGAGATAATGCCAATTATTTTATGTTTCGGAAGTGTTTCTTTCAATAATGAAGAATAGAAAAAAAAACTGCTTTTTTTGCTCAAAGCTACATCTTAATAAAATTTTAGAATGAAATCGGTCAATATGGGAAATTGTACGATTGGAGGTGACAATCAAACACTTAATATGAATGATAGATAAACTCAAAAATTGTTCAAAGAAAAGATTACTTTAGTCATCAGCGATAAAATTTATTTTTCTTAACATAATTTATCAGTAAATTTTTTCTTCTGTTCGATTCTAATGCTGAATAACAAGATTTTAATATTCTTCGATGAACAAATTTTTATGAAGGGTTTATCGACTTCATCTAAAAACCAAAGAAAACATTCTGATATTGCTATAATGAAATTTATCAAGGGTTTCGTTTTTTAATTTTTTGGCAGAGAAATACATTGTACAATAGCCAATCGAATCATTTAAACTTTTTCTCCATTCCTTTTAAAGGCACTTCCTTCCTCGACTTTCTCAAGAATAGCTTGACAAAAGCTTATGAAATTTTCAGGATAGATAGATCTCAACTAGTAGAGTAAAAGCTGTCACGGACTCAGACTTTTTAGATGCTTTCCTCTATGACAGATAAATAGCACACGGATCAAAAATGATCTGAAGATTCACATCTCCTCCGACCGTAGCCAGCCAGAAATCATGTTTTTATGTCTAACTTTATTTGTGTACCAACTAGGACTAAATCGAGGTGTAGATTTGTTTTCTCTAAGGCAAATTTTGTAAGATCTGTCAAAACCTATCAAAATATTATTTTAAGAAAAAGAAATATGTATACATGCGGCTTTGGTCCTAGTTATCACACAAAAAATTCCAGCTCTATGCGTCGAAGCGTCTGAAAGAAAAAATAGAAATACTTCAATGTTTTCTTTTGAAAGATTGATTTTGAGAAAAATGTGAAACAGTAGAAGACGCAATTTTTTTCATGCATAGCTATCAAGTAATGCACTGCAGATTCATATATCATATTTTGATAACGAAATAATTATATTAGTATAGACCATTTACAGTATGAGAGAGCCGTAAAACTTGATATTTTGTGTAGGAGATCTCTAAAATCCGTTTTTTTAAGGATCTAAATAGCCATGAAAAACTTTTGTTCATCTGCCATACGATACAGAACATTTAAATGTTTTTTTTTAGATACAACAAAAATCGAAGAAAAAGTAAATTTTTGCGGTCGGAAAATGGAGGGACTACCCTTCACGATTCTTGAATGTTCAGTATAAAACGATTTCATTGACTTCTCTATATTCCTCTTCAATGAAATATGTAATTTGATCGTTTGTAAACATTTGAAAAAGAAACATTCATCTGGATTCTTTTATATCTGAAATGACTTGCTTTTTTTTGTTTATTATTATTTGCATTTCAATATTTTTTCAACCTTTCATTGACATCTTCAAGAAAAGATTTATCTTTTTTTTTTTTTTGTATTCATTCTATGAATATTCAAATATGACACACAAGACAGTGTCATATGTAATTCATCGATCGATTCAAATCACTTGTGAAAACTAATATAAGAAGAATATATCTTTCTTTATCAATTGAAATATAAGACGATTTTCGAATTGTTTTATTATTCAATCTTTTATCGTTTTATAATCGACTAGACTTTCAAAAACAATTTGTATTTCTTGAATTCAATGATAAACTTGTTTGTTTCGATTTAAATTTGATAATTGAAAACAAATAGAAGATCTTAAAAATCTTTTGATTCCTATTAAAGTTAAATGTCGAAAACCTCAAATATGCATGAAAAATTCTTCGAAACTATGCCATACAAAAATCAATTTTAGATCATTTTTTGAGATGAATATTTAATAGAGAATAAGTATAAAATCTTATCGTACAATGTCCATTAAAATGCGAAATAAAACGTTAGAAAGTTAAATATATTTTATTTTCGATGAAAAATTGCTGAGTTGTATTAAATCGATAAATTTGGAATAATATTTTAATCAAATTTTCTTGATGATTGTTTGTCTCTCTCGTACTAACTCTAATCTATTAATGAGTTAATTTAGATCGACTAATGAAAAGAGAAAAAGTTCAATTGAATAATAAACTCACCATTCAGTTGTTCTTCTCGAATGTAAAT